ATAGAGATAGATGGTATTACTAATACAACAGAGATAATACATATAGAGATAGATGGTAGTACTAATACATATAGAGATAATACATATAGAGATAGATGGTAGTACTAATACATATAGAGATAATACATATAGATATAGATGGTAGTACTAATATAACCGGCCCTTGGGACATGAGTATGTGAAATTTTATGGATAGTCATTTTATTCGGCAATTCTTGGATTCATTTACGGAAATTGGTATTATCTGGGCAAACAAAAGAGTGTGTACTTAGTGTACTTTTATTGATAAGGTGCCACACAAAAGATTATTTTTCTTGGTAAATGACTTTAATTGAATTGTAGATGATTGAATCGGAGAAAATCAGGTATTAATGCAGTTGATCAGACAGAGAGGACCTTGTTACTAGTAGAATACTTCAGGGGTCAGTGCTTGAGCCTTTGTTTTTTCTTATTCACATTTAATATTACTAATAGGAACAAAATGAGTAAACATTAGCTGATGATGGTAAACTCGTAGATACTTCTAGCTATATTGAGGATGTTTAGGTATTACAAAATAACTTTGATAAAGCGGTAAGTTGGACAAATAATCGGTAGATAACCTTTAATTACAATAAGTGCAAGATAATGCATTTGCTTGTCTTAATTTGTATTGCACATTTAATATAGATGTAGGCCCACTAAATAGCATGACTGAAGAAAAGGATTGTATCTTGGTGTGTCAGTCACTAAAATCATCAAAACAGTGCTCTGTTACTAGTAGTAAAGTCAAGAAAATTTTAGGATGTACTTATAGATAGATTGATTACAGGTCAGAAAAGGTAATTATCCCTCTGTACAAATCACTAGTTAGGCCTTACTTGATACTGTGTACAGTTTTGGTCTCCTTTTCTAAGAAATGATGTTGACTTATTGGAAAGGGTTTGAAGAGTGTTACTAGGATCATTCCAGAGATGTGTTAAGATCTATTTAAAAAATAAAATAAAATTGCTCTTGAGAAAAGAAGAGTAAGTGATGATTTTATTGATGTGAGTCTGTAAAATTATCATCCATCTGATTTTTGATGCTTCACTTAATAAGACAAGAGGACACAAGTTAAAGATTTGGAAAAAAACATACTACTACTCACTTTTTGTGTTCCACTGTAATAACATTTTATTTGAATTAGGAATTGTAACATAATTTTGTTTTCTAGCTTAAGATCAACTCTAGTACTGATGATATGTAAGGGAAAGCAATAACAATAAAACTTATACTCACAAAGATTAGGAATTGTAACATAATTTTGTTTTCTAGCTAAAGATCAACCCTAGTACTGATGATATGTAAGGGAAAGCAATAACAATAAAACTTATACTCACAAAGATTAGGAATTGTAACATCATTTTGTTTTCTAGCTAAAGATCAACCCTAGTACTGATGATATGTAAGGGAAAGCAATAACAATAGAACTTATACTCACAAAGATTAGGAATTGTAACATAATTTTGTTTTCTAGCTAAAGATCAACTCTAGTACTGATGATATGTAAGGGAAAGCAATAACAATAAAACTTATACTCACAAAGATTAGGAATTGTAAATTTCACATGATATAGCTGCCAATACTGATTTTTTTTTTTTTACATTTGTATATTTTATTGTTGTAGTTACAAATGCTACTAAGTTTATCCAAAATGTTAAAAGTATGAAAATAACAATTTAATGGCTACTTTTGAACTTGTTTAATTTTAGGCTCTATCCATAACTGTAAGAAAACAAGGAATAGTAAAAATGTAGATATAAATAGGTTCTAAGCAACTTCTAACAGAAAATCTGTCTAAAAATGCTAACCAAGGACTTTTGTAAGGACTCATATATAAACCTTTAAAGGTGAGAATCAATGGATTTGTTTAATTTTCCCATAGGAAACAAATTCAAGAAGTAAACTGGGAACGTAAATCTAGTCAGAAAGCGGCTGGGGAAAAACTAAGAAATCTTGATGCAAGGTAATAGTTTTATTTGTTTGAATGATAAATAAATTGTTAACTGATATCATCAACACCTTTAAAGTATTTGTTGTTTAGGAAGATATTCTCAGGCTTTAAGTTGTTCTCCAGTGGGACGGTGGTAAATCTATGAACTTACAATGCTCAAATTTGGGGTTTGATTCCCAGCTGTGAACATTGGAGATAACCTAATTTGGCTTTGTTCTCAAACAAACAAGTTTTAAGTTATTTTCAAATGTGTTGTTTGAAGTTATTTTCAAATGTTCTTTTCACTGTTATCATTACGAATGGTATTCTTCAGATTTAAAAATAAATTGGATTAAAATATTTAAATAGTTAATCTGACTGATTTAAAAAAATGTTTTGTCTTTTGGAACCGTGAACATTTTCTTCAAACATTATCAATGTTTTTTTTTTCTTCATTTTGAAGTTGTTTGTTAAGCATAAACCTACACAGTGGGTTATCTATGCTCTGTCCACCACTAGTATTGAAGCTTACTGCAGGGCTATGGGCATTTGAATATGAAATGTATATAGAATTTAGATTATTGCTAAAGTAGTAATTATAAGCATTTCACTTATCAGTTAGGCATTTCACACTCTGCAACTGAATAGAAGTGGTCAGTAATAATTATGAAATTTATCTATATTTCCAGCTGATAGGTCTGGAAAGTTTTATGAACTTGATTTTAATTTTTCTGATATGTAGGAGCAGTTGATAAGAACTAAGAAATTTATCTTTTCTTCTAGTTGATTAAAGTAAGAATTATATTATTTAACTAGTTTGGTTGAGAATATCACAAATCTACACAGAAGATCAATAGTAAAGTCAGTATTATTTTTAAATACAAGCTTTTGCCATAGCCTTCTGTGGGGAATGCTGTAGTTGTTCTCAGTGGAATGTTTTGTCTGGTGTCTCTCTCAACAACAGTAAAAATATGAGAGACAACTTTTAGTGGAGAAATAAACAAAAATAAAATATTACATTTTTAGATTCTGTAAAAATTGTACTTTTTGAAATTAATTTAAAAGAGCAATGATGAAAACCTGTACTAAAAGTTGGTGAAAATTAAAGAACAAAATACATCAAAATGTTTTTTTAAATCCGACACTTAGATTTTTTTGTGGAAATTGAATTATTAAAGATGAATGTGTAAAATGAAAGAAATGGGTATAAAATACAAACATTATGAGAGTGCTCTCCCCCTTTTGTATGAAAATGAACTGCATAAGAATATAGTTGATAGTGTGTACTATAACTGGATGGCATCTAACCATAAGACAGTGCTACACCAGTCATGTTATTCCCAGCATGCTCTCGTGGCTCCCAGGAAATAAATGGCACATGAAAAATGTGTAAACCTCAAAGTTTTAACCCTATCTCAACAGTTAGGTCAAAGTGTGCATGTCACGATCTTGTAATTAACCTAACTTATTAACAATGTATGTCAATAAACTTGGCATTAATTCATAGTTTATAATTCAAATTTTAATATATATATTTTAATTAATCAATTTTATAATGATTTATATAAATTATCAAGCTTCACTTTTTGTATCGCGTGACACTTCTTGATTCCAAACTGCCCATTTTTACATTTTCTGCTACCCCTATATGGCCTTGTAACTTTCCGTGAAATTTCTCACATGTATATATCCCAAAGCTAAGCTGTCAGTATTAGTGAGAAAGCTTCTTTCTTTATGAAATATAAACAATAAAGTAAAGGTCTCATGTGATGCTTTTCCCATAACTTGTCATAAATTCTATTTTATGTTTACTGTTGTATTATTTGTAAGCAATAAAAAGTGAAAATTTCACTGAACTGATAGCTACAGAGTCTGAAGGCCTTGGTCTATCCAGATTTGAACATGTTGACATACTTTTCTTTGTATACTGCTGTTAGAGCCCTGATTGACCAGGAATGGGAATATTCATATTCTAAATTGGATAATGTTAATGTTGTAAGTACTTTTCTAAGATCAAATACTCTATTAGAAGTCTCAAAATTATGGTGCACACAAACAATGTATGTAATCTTCCTTAATTACTATGCACACAAACAGTGAAGGAAGATTACATAGCACAGTAATTAAGGAAGATTACATACCTTCTTTGTGTGCACAGTAATTACACAAATAAGGTATGTAATCTTCCTTAATTACTGTGCACGGGTATCGAACACAAGTTCACATCATGTACTGTTTGTTTGTTTTGATATAGAGGATTTGAGTTTGGATAAGATATTTTGATGAAAGGAGAGAATGTTCTTAAAAAAATTTTATGCTAAAACTATTTAAAATTCTTATTTTTTTGCCAATATTTTGAAGCTAAATAGTACAAATAGTACTTACTTATTTGATTGTTCTTTTAGTAGCATTGTTGGTTTCAGTTTCAGTTTGTTGCCAAATTTAAAGGATAATTTTTTTTTTTCACTTGTTAGTTGGGTTGGGTGTGAAACTTGAGTACATGTTATTGTGTGTATCTTGTGTGTCCATGGAGATGTTAATGATACATTTGTGTTTTTGACCAATATATCAAACAAGTCCCTGGAGTCCTCTTTTTTAAAGTATCAGTGTGAACTAAATGTGCTCATCCTGAGATCACAGACATCATCAGCCAGTTTTTTGGGTGAAAGGACGATGTTGAGAAACCAGTCTCCTCTAAACACTGTATATAAATTTTTACAGTCGGGAAAAGCTGGTTATGTCCCATTATTCATTTTAACAAAACGATTTTAATAGATTCAAACAGGTTTTGTTTAGTATCCCCACAAAAAATAATTTCCAAGCAACAAAGGACGAATTCCAAAACCTGTACTTCATGGTAAAACAACATCAGATTTACTGATATCAAGATTCTAGACACATAGGAAGAAAAGCATTGCTGTAATAACTTACAACAGTGGCCCACCACAGAATATCAATAAAAAATTGATCAGATTAATCAAAGTTTTGCCACATAATGAAGTTTCAAACTTTAGAAACTGTTTTGCTTTGTGTTTTATATTTTTAACACTAGATTTAATAATTTTTAGATTTTATTTTGATGTAGTTTGCTCTTTACATTTAATATTTTGATTAGGAGCCTAATCTACTAAATTTAAAAAGTAATATTTTAATGTTCTTTTTTGTAAAATTAATTTTAATAATTGAGGTTTGAAATAACTGTGACAATTGAATACTTTAACTTTCTTGTTCTTTGTATCCCCACTAGAGGGTGCTTGCTGTGCTGTTTACAATACTGCTAGTCATTCCACTGAGAACAATATAAAATCAATATGTAGAAGATTGCTAGCCAAGGATCCAAAAGCTTAAAGTTATAAAAAACATAAAATTGTAATTTTACCAAAGATTTAAATTTATGTACTCATTGCTTCCTATGGCATGTTTAGGTATTATATTTTCCACTAGCATAAAATACCCTTGCAATGATACAATATATTAAACCTTCATGTTCATTGTCAATATCAGTATAGATCTAAAGAGCCATTGTGCAATTTAGATAGCATGCATTAATTACATCTTGTTTTTGTGGGTGCATGATACCATGAATAACAAAATCTGTAAGAATAACATAAAAATAGTTGTGCAAAATTAAGCGTTTTGAATTAATATTAATTGAAGAAAAAAAAAGGTTTGGGTACTTTCCATTTCTATAAACTAATAAAAGTGGTTACTTAAGTTTGAATAGATATATTAATTTATAAGTATATAAGCTGTATAGTTAGACACCAGAGAAAGTGACTTTGTTCTCAGTTACATACATTTCAAAACAACCATTGAGAGGATTGAATTCTAAGATAATGTGTAGAACAGGAACATAATGCTACAACCAGGGATTAAAATTCTGAGTTTATTAAATGAGATGAGTTCAGATATGTGAATGAATGCTATAATGTAAGTAGTATGTATAAAATATAGATACAGGTGCAATTTTGTTGAACTGACTAGCTTAATTCGGGAACTGAATTAGACACTGATATAACTGAAGTAATCCAGAAAGGTTCTGTAGTTATTGGTAGCACAGCATTAGTTGTGACAGGTTTAGGCCAGATGGATTCTCCTATTACATATTTCATAAGTAGTGGCATTTGAGGATGAAATTCTGAAGCAGATATGAAGAGGGATACGATTGTTTAACAACAGAATACATAGCTTCCTCCCTAGTCAGCTGATTGAAGGAACAGCTATATATAAAAACTGTACTCCATCCAATCAGAATACAAGTACTTTTCTTATGTATATCAACAGGATATATAGCTTTACTAGTTAGTTGAATCAAGGATCAGTTTGATATAAAACCTTACTCCAGTCAAGCATTTGCAGTTGTGCTTAGCAATGCTGTTACTTTTGAAATCGTTAAGTTTGTTCCTTTTCAAGGTAAGAATTATGAAATTTTAAGTTATTGTAAATGAAAAGCATTGTTTATGTAAGAATTACATTCAACTATGAGATATAAGTTTATTGTCTTTCTGGCTGGGTAGGACTGGTCAGTAAGAATAACATTCAACTATGAAATATAAGTTTATTGTCTTTCTAGCTGAGTAGGACTGGTCAGTAAGAATTACATTCAACTATGAAATATAAGTTTATTGTCTTTCTAGCTGGGTAGGACTAGTCAGTAAGAATTACATTCAACTATGAAATATAAGTTTATTGTCTTTCTAGCTGGGTAGGACTGGTCAGTAAGAATTACATTCAACTATGAAATATAAGTTTATTGTCTTTCTAGCTGGATAGGACTGGTCAGTAAGAATTACATTCAACTATGAAATATAAGTTTATTGTCTTTCTAGCTGGGTAGGACTGGTCAGTAAGAATTACATTCAACTATGAAATATGAGTTTATTGTCTTTCTAGCTGGGTAGGACTGGTCAGTAAGAATTACGAAATTGAAAGAGCATGTGCAGAACTTGAGAAAGAAATTGATTCCATGAAGAAAAGTAATAAAGCTGTTGAAAATAAAGAAAGGGAATAAGAGTTCCTTTTTTCAAGAAGAAATCTAAGTATCTGTTAAAATGTTATGTTGATCATACGATATCATTGACTTTTAAGTTTCAAGCATCTTAATTGTAAAAGAAAATGTTTAAGAAATAAAATACAAGATTTTTATTATGTTGTTAACGTATTAAGTTCTTGTCACTTTTTGTCTCACAAAGAGAGTTTTTCGGGACTTTTGTGTGTGGTTTTGTACCTTATCGTTTAATAATGGTTTAGTCTATGAGCAAGAGTTTAGACTAATGCTGTTATACTTGATGAGCCAGTATTATACATGTAGTGTATAGTTGAAGCATCTTAAGATGAGCTTGTAATCTGTGCATCTGACATACAGTCTCTACACTTTCTTTATGCTGTCACTAACAAAACTAATACCACTCCATTTATTTACATATATAAGATTATTCATCATGGGAAGTGTTTGGTGATTCTTGAGCCCTGTAAGATATTGAATAAGAGCAAAGATTTCTCTATCCTTCAAATCAAAGATGTATGATAGTGGATGGCCAACTAGTGGCAGTATCATTATCAAAGACTTTGTTGTACTCGCTAGTCAAAAATTTTTACATCAGGGTTACAGTAGCGGTAATTGAAAATTACATGTCTGCTGGAAGTACAGTAAGGTAAGACCCATAACTTAAAAAAAATGGCTGGTAACAGACCAAGAAGAAGGACAATTAAACAGGCTTTGTAGCTGCATCAGTGTGATTCCTTGAATCAAGAATCATATGATAACACAAGCAACAGGAAAACATGGCTTCTTTTGTCCATGTGGTAACTGTTTGTAATGGAAATTTTGAATTAGTACCTTTCACACAATATACATTTCTGTTTGGCTAAATTTTTGGACAGCTTGTGGAAACTTCCTATATGTTATTTATATAATAAGAACTCTAACACATGTTGGTTTCACAAATTACTACATATTGACTCATTAATACAATAGTTAAATTGTTATTCTCTCTTTTTTAACTATGTCAGTAGAAGTAATATGTTGTAGGTCTCAAATACCAACATCAGTGTAACTTTAAGACTTACTCAGAGCAACTAGCACTACCCTCATGACTGTTCATATGAGTAAGTTTGTAACCTGAAGATATCACCTGACTTCCATTGGTTGACATTGCTGTCGACCTTCATACACAAGTTGTAGCTTTACAGTTTACCTCCAAGGGATGACAAAGAACAAAATCAACTGAACTACTATCTTGACCATGTTTATGCTAAGACTTCACACAGCTAGAACAAACGAAAAGTTTGAAAAACTTTATATTTATATAAGAAGCTAAAAAAATACATGGTATTTCTGCATACAACACAATCACTAACTTAATAATAACAACGTTTTTTGCTGTTTCTCAACCTGCAGTCTCATTTATTATAATCTCCTCCACCAAAGTGATTTATTAACTAATCTTTTATGTGACACATTATCAAAAGCTTTTTGAAAATCTAAGTATATCACGTCCACTCCCTTTTCATCATTTCAATAATGCATAACATTCTTTAAAAAAAGATTACAGATTAGTAAGGAAAAATTTCCATTTGGTGAATCAATAATGTTTTTTTGTTTTATTACGTCAAATCTCACTGGATGATTTTGAAAGCTTCTTTTATCAGACTCTTAAGTTTTTTCCCACTACAGGAGTAAGACTAATTGATCTATAATTTTCAGGACCACTCTTATCACCCTCTTCAAAAATAGAAATAACATTAGTAATCTTCCAGTGCTTGCCCACTGTCTTTTAACCTACTTTGTAATTGATGTAATTGTTTTTCTTTTAAAGCATTCAAGAAACAGGTAAAGTAGTTGCTGTTATATATATATATATATTATTAAACCAGACAAAAATTCACTCAAAAGGTAAACTAGGAACAACTAAAGGTAATTTTGAAAATATCAGAAATTCATATAGCTGATTTGTGTTAGCACATTATGTTGTATTTTTACTAAGATACCAAATCACTGAAATTAGACTTTGCTAAGTATATATAGTGTAATATTGAATTGATATTGATAGCATGAAACCAAGTCAGTCTAGGTAAAAATTCTGGATTCAAATTTCTTCTGGAGCCATTCCTAAGATTAACAAACTCAGTCAAAATCTACAATTTAACATAATCCATAAAATTCCAAACTGTTATCAGATTTATGGATAAATGCATCTGTAATTGTGGAACTGATCTTGGAAATTATTGGGAATGATTGATTATCTTTCTCTCACCCATTCAGGGAAGCATCTGCAATTGTGGAACTATCTTGGAAATTATTGGGAATGATTGATTATGTTACTCTCACCCATTCAGGGAAGCATCTGTAATTGTGGAACTGATCTTGGAAATTATTGGGAATGATTGATTATCTTACTCTCACCCATTCAGGGAAGCATCTGTAATTGTGGAACTGATCTTGGAAATTATTGGGAATGAATGATTATGTTACTCTCACCCATTTAGGGAAAATCCATTACTTTTGAATATTGGGTTTGTGTTTTGACAAAATAGAGATGTCCGAAAGTGTCGTACATATGAGAGAAGTTACCAAGTAAGTGCAACTGTTGTATTAGCATCTATCAGCAAATTGTTTTTGTAACAGAAATGAACCACTCATGAAACCTCAACCGTATACTCCTGCACACTTATTACTGCTCAACCAGTATTCTGTGCATTTACAATGATGAGGAAAAATTTATCTAGTTTAACAACCTGAAAAAAAAAGGTAGAGTAAATTCAGTATAAATAAAAATAACATCTTTAAATCATTTTAGCCACCCTCTAAACATTTTTGCATCATGTCCTGTGGTTTACAACTAATGTTTTTAAGATCAAAGTAGGATAATGATATTAAAAACTACCTGAGTAATAAAAAAACATGCGTACAAGTATAAAAAGATTATGGTTGGGCTTCCCTATGGACATTTTGTTTGGAGAAACATGAATACAAATACATCAGAGGAAGAGCAGAAAAAAGGCCAAAGTTCATCACAAAAACAAATGTATACTTAAGGATAAAATCATTTTAACAAGAAAATGGATTACAAGATATATGAAAGTGGTAGTCAAGGAATGCAAAACTTCTGACAGTTCTAAATATTAACTCTACATGGGAAATGTGAGACACTCAAAACAACATTATAACACGTTTTTTGTTGTTGTTGTTTTTTTTAATTAAAAAAAAGAAAGTATCAACTCCAACTAGTGCTACATGCTCAAAGTTACCTCAAGCCACATGGTTGGTTAACAGGTGGATAAGATAAAAACCCATAAAATGCTATGTATAGAATACTAAATTTTAAGCAGCCTGTTGGTTATGTTCAACTTACTTTACCAAGCATTTGGAAAAGGAACATACGATGCAGTGCGGAATGGCCCCAACAATCACGATGTAGTTTTTGTTTCCTTTATTGCTAATTGGAGGCTAGCTGTGATTAATATTATGTAGAAAGAAATAGCAATTTTGGGTTCTTTAAATATTACTTCATCACGCACATATATTGAGTCGAAGGATACATTCTAACTGCTATGCATATGACTGCAGAAGTAAAACCTGATATAACAGAGTTGAAGTTTGTAACATTACAGGACAGCAAAACAGTTATTACTTTAGAGTTTGTTTATATTTATGCACAGCCAGTTATTTAGGCTACAGAATCGATCAAATTTGATTTCAACAATAAGAGGGAATCCTCAATAGCCCAGGCTGTAATTAGATCTCAAATGGGTCAAGAGATGAAGCCACGAGCTAAAAGTTTGTACTTGAAAAAAAAATTCTGAGTCATTGTATTAGCTGTGGCTAAAAACGTTTAGCTGAGCATGGTGAACGTGTTGCTAAAACACGTTTTTAGTTTGGTTTGGATTAAATTAGTGCAAAGCTACTTGAGGGCTGTCTGCGCTATCCGTACTTAATTTAGCATAGACTAGAGAGAAAATAGCTATTCAGCATCACCCACTGCTAACTCTTAAGCTACTCTTTTAAAAACGAATAGTGGGATTGACTCTCACATTATAATGCCCCCATGGCTGAAAGGGGCGAACATGTTCAGTGATGGGAATATGAACTCACGACCCACAAATTGGGAGTCAAACTCTCTAACCACCAGGCCCTATCTCAATAAAATAATGATTCGAACAAAATGTGCCATTAGTTGGAAACTGCAATTTGGATGAATATATATATAC